GTCTGACGCTCTTCCACTCGTCTTACTAGGTATCGGCAATGCAGTGAAAGCTGGCATTGCATACTCTGTGGTTCAACTCCTTTATGGAACGACACTTCGACTTCCAGTAGGATTCGTGGATCTTTCATCCTCTTCAATGAGCATGGATCTAACCGCCTACACGAACAGGCTTACAAACGCAATGCGTTCAGTTAAACCTGCTTCCACTCGACCTCAATCAAGTGATGTTTCCGTTCAACCTAGCTTACTATATAGTACACACGTCTTCGTATGTCGAGACTCGCATCGACGACCTTTTGAATAAGCATATGAAGGACCTTTCAAAGTTCTTCAACGCGAACCTAAGTGCTATATAATCGACAAGAACGGAACAAACGATAGCATCAGCATTGATTGCCTCAAAGCAGCATATTTAGAAAAGAATACTATCTACGTCGATTTTCCTTCGGTACAATCGAACGACACGACTCCGACAGTTATAATACCTCATCCGACAACCAACATGCACGTTGATACTTCGACAGTATCTGAGAATAAACTTAAAACAACGCGTTCTGGAAGAAAAGTAAGATATCCAGAACATTTAAACGATTATTGCACATAAGACACTAGTTAACATTTTGCTTCATCTCCATTTTCCATGGCTATATACACAATATAAAAGTTTTTTTTATGCTTATATTTATATATATTTATTATTTGGCTAATAGGTATACTAAAGAATTTTTTTGAAAAAAACATTTGTAAAGATGACTTTTAACGTTATTTACCTTTTTTCCGCCCACTTTATGTCTTAAGGCGCTTACGAGTTTATTTCGAAATGCACTTACATTTTCTTTTTAGCTTTTCCAGGACGACTGGAAAAGACGATAAAAAGAATGATGAGGTTTACGAGGAACCAAAAACATTCATTGTACATTATTTTTTAACTATATTGTATTTAATGGTCCTTTATAGTAAGGGAAGACGACTAGACACTGCTAAACCTAGCAAGCTATCGGAATAGTGTTTATCAACGACGGGACTCGTTAATTTTAAACTTCTGGCTGGCTACGTCTTAGGGTCATTACTACCACGCTAGAGGGGAGTGATCTGTAGCGTTATATAAATCCCCAAAATAAATAACTCTGTAAGTTTTCGAAATTGGATACTGACCACATGTTTTAATGGACTCACCTAGCTAAAGGCGCTCGGTCATGCATCCGCACCAGATCACGAGTGGGAACGCCGTGCTCAACAACCCTTGCAATCGCTAGCCAGATTAGATTAGACGATTCTCGATATATCGATAGCATATCAAATATATCTTCGAACTTACTTGCTTTTGTCTTTTGATTTCTCTTGGTGGGTACGCTTCATATAGAAGGTGTTACTGGTTAAAGCGTTGTCAAAATCCGAATACCTGTGGCAACTTCACATTCGAAAGATTGTGATTGGAAGAGAAGAAGAACCGTATCCGGCGAAAGTGGGTGACCGATAAAACCAGATGAAAATCGAGGGATATTCAAAAAACAAAAGATAAATATTAATAAGTTGTAATGAAATATTATCCTGAATCAATAGTATTATGTCATGTCTCCGCTTGGAAGGCTCCTGAGAATTGTCTTGGAAGTTAATCGAACTGTACATGTCACGAGCAGCTCCATAAACCGATTACCCTTGCATCTTTAAAATTATTCTGCAGTTGACGTTTGAAATGTTGAATCTCGCTAGATTCCACAGAAGAGTTGTCCTTTGATCGTAATCATGGATTTCTCTCGAAAGGCAATAGTCTAGGAAGTCATCCATTTTGAAATGTCATTCATTTATATTAGAACGATTAGTAGTTTTAATATCGAACCTAATATGTCTTCATGAGGACATCCTGTACTGTTAAAAAGCTCAAAATTCTCCCGAACTATATTTTTGATGATTTTGGTATGGTTAAAAGCCGTAGATAGACGGCAGAGGAACTTCAGAATAAGAGTATAAGTGTAACTTCTTTTGGTGGCACCCATAAAGTCGATTTTTCTAATTCGTATTGCTGCATGACCTCTTTTATATTCTGAGTGATTTTCACAATCTCCATTATAACAACTTTTCTACATGAATCAAGGTTATGTCTGTTATTATATGTATGAATGAGATAATTTCATTTTGAACACATCTTTATTATATACAAATTCATCTCATACTCTACTGCTTTAGCTTCGGGTCTTATCATTGACGATTAAAATGAAGAGTTGTGTGTTAGTTACCGTCATTTCTAGTTCTCATTAACTTTCGTTGCCATTAAATTAATTTCCATTGTTCATAATGTTAATTGTTGTGGCACTGGTTCCTAACCCTCGACGTATGAAGTCGAACGTGTAACACTTGGAGAAGGTCATTTACTCATTCGATCGGATGGCATATCTGAGCTCTTCAGACGTAGTCATTTTTTATAACTTGTTTTTATTCACATTCAATATATTATGCTATCTCCAGCCCAAATGTGTTCTTCTAAAATACGAGACGTTATATTGCTGATTCTTATGATACGACGAGTTCATGTAGTCAATGATGAGACTTCCATATAAGATCTCATAAATTAGTTTGTCACATGACAAATCCACAATTTTGGGGTTGGTTTTATTATTATGGCAGTAATAATATCAAACAAGATCATATTTCTATACAAATAAATCACGTTTAACTGAAATTTATTCCCCAATCATTTTTCTTATGTCTTCAGTCATGTTACTGAGACAAGAGAGCTATCAACCAATCCCTAGAATATGATGTTTGTTATTCATTGTAGAGCGAGTTTAATTTCTATACATCCTCATAAATCGTCGAGTTGGCCTTGAAGATGGACTAGTCTCTACGTTTACATTCCACAATGCTAATATCTTGGTGATATTAGGGATGAATAGACAGTAATATGTATTTTCATGGATTAGTCCTCTTTGCTAACAATAAAAGTTTGGTTTGTAGAATTATGATCTACTATGATAGTAGTACTGCTCTAATAATAGACCTAATCCTACAATTGTAAATTCGTCATGATATAAATGCCTAATCTATAAGATCTTACGTGGAAGTCACACCATCGACTACACCAACTCACTGTATCGTATCAATTACCAATACATGATGTAGAACAAGGTTAGGCTAGAAAAGGAACAATATATTTAATATGAATAGAAGATATAAGGTAACATTCAGATGGACCACGCCTGCATGGCCGAGCTATGCCATTCGATCAACTCCAATTCATTCAATTTCTTGTTCGCGCCTTCTCCATAGTTAGGTATTTCTCAGCGTTAAATATTGAATATCTATTTTCCGAGTAATCTCGTATTCAGCTTTGAGGTTTGTGTGGTTATGGTCCAATGACACTACAGGTTCATAGAGCATATCATCATGGCACTCATTTGTCCTACTTAATCCAAGTCTTTTGATGTCCGTTATTTTTCGCTCATTCCCTTATTGCATCGTATTTAACCTCTCCCTTTTTTCGTTTGTTCGCTACTTTGTTCATTTCGACCTGTTTCTTTCCAATCCACTTTATCTCAGTAGTTCCCTATCTACAACTTTTGACATAATCAACAAAACTACTATCCAGTACATCTTCTGACCTCAATAAGCTTACTTCTGTGAGAAAAATTCAATCACTCACTCCCTAAACCCAGAAATCTTTGAATAACTGTCGATGTCACCGGAACTGTTTAAACCCAAGGGGTAAATAACGCTTACTAAATGCTACTTTTCACTGACTTCATGATGCTAGTGAGAACAGATCAATCAATTTACACTAGTGTATTTCATTATATCATACGCTGGCAGCAGTGACCAGATTTTCTTGATTTATCTTGAATTCAACCCCATATCGAGCTTGTAAACATAGCGTTTCCTCCTTAACCTCAAGAGAATAAGAGCACATTTGGATGCGAGTCACCAAATCAGTCCCGTGACTTAAATCCAGGCCCTATGACGAGCGCCTCAAATCACTGAAACTTTACTCATTGCAATATAGGCATCACAAAGGTGAACTTCTAATGGACTATATTATCTTAAACACTCACGGATATCCCCTTGAATAACTTGTAGTGTCGGTTATTGTGTTAATCTCATATGACCTTATTCTAGGTTTCGGCCAGACCATTTCATTCATTCTACTTGAGTCACATTCTAACCTTGTTATTTATTCGCTTATCAATCTTGATTGTTTTCATATGAGCGAGTAGGTGTGTGCACACTTCTTATCCCATTGCTCATCAAATGTCTGTAACTTACTTTTGTGTAACTATAAATATTGATTAACGTTTGATTAAATGGGGAGATGGTTTACCTGCCATCTCCACGCTGCGTCGTTTCTCTTCTCTCTATTCCATTCGCTTTATATACAAAATATATGTATTCACAAGTCCGTTCACGTTATTCGACTTATTTAATTCCGTTAATGACTAACTCGATTTAAGTCGATGATTGTATACGAGGATAGGCGATAACAAACATTCATACGATCTAATTGGAGTCAGATCCACGGGCCACTAAAAACTACATAAGCTAATCCCCAACATAAACCTTGGGAGTAACACTCAGAAGTTGAAAACATAACGTAGCAGAATGGACGGTAGGGACACTTTTTACTCTTTGCGAATAGTCCAATCCCATAAGTCACCGTCGAGTGAGGTAGTTCTTGACAGGAGTCTTTTAAGAGGAGACTTAACAAATTTTTTTCGGAGTAAGAGAAGCATCGCACTATGGTCTACTTATATTATTCTCTTTTATCGTTAACTATACCTAGGTTTCTATCTAGAAGCATCGTTGATATACTGCTTCTAGATACAGAAGCTCGTTAAGCGAAAGCTTCTATTCCGTTCAGAAAAAATTGAAACAATTAGAATTATGATTAGTTGTTATCAAGGAGTTAAATATTCCGTGTATACTCATAGAGCTGTCCACCCGTTTTTACTTATTTCCCTCTTTCACCAGATTGAAGCAAACACTTCAAAGTGTTGTCCAGACTAGATGAAGGTCATCCATAAGTTGCACTAAAATGGCAACTATTCGAGAGTCTTCGGTACGGGCTGGTTGAGAATGAAATCTACTGGTTTTACAGGTATATGTGTATTCCAAATATAATATAATTTAGCCAAACAAGTTTGTGATTCTCTAGTGGTTGTTGTTGGAGGTGCTGTAGTTTCTGGTGCTATATTCTTGTTATATCGACGAGAAAACAAGAAAGTATATTGCCGTAAGAGCTTGACCTTTTGTTGTTTATACGTCTTATTACCTAAATTTTTGAAGTGTTTGGTGACTGATTCTAAATTCGATGTATCATTGAGTTCTTTTTTTTCACACGCGCTCTGAAACATTAAACTTTAAACAGTAAATTTATAATCGATTACCAAGAAGTCTCTTAGTGTGTTCTAGATCGACTATTTGATATTAATGAACCACTTGCAGTAAGCGTTTAGCGGATCCACCAGATTTTCCGGCCAGCAGATAGCGAGCTCAAAGCCTTCGATGTAGTGTTATTATCCCTTTCAAACAGTATCACGAAACCCAACGCAAATCTGTAATTGATAATTTGTAGTGGATGGTCCTATGTCGAGCTCACATAGCTTATTCTAGCTTCTGAACAAACCAACTTATTCATTCTCCTCAAGCTACATTTCGACCTTGTTAATTATTTAATTATCAACGTTGACCGTTTCTATATGAGCGTGTGTGTGCATTTCCTATCTTACTCATCACATTTCTGTAACTCATTTTTATCTGACTACAAATATCAAGTTTCACTTGATTAAGTCGAGTTAGCTCACACTCTTCCACCGCGCGTCATTTCGCTTCGCTCTCTTCTCTTCACACCGTCTCTCTGATTGTCTGTTCTGATCAACGATTGTATGAAATACACGTATTCGAAATTCATTCTTGTATTTGATTTATTTAGTTCCTTTATACACCAACTCGAGTTAAGTCTGTGATTATACACAGGACTTGCGATATGTATATTTCGATAACAAGCAACTTACGATCAAATTGGAGTCAGATTTGAGGCTACGAAAAATTGAACCACATTATTATTAGACGTTCTCACTGCTTCTTATTCGAGGGGCGTTACTTTTTGCGCCTTATCAAGCCCAAGACGTTTTGCGGCTTATGAAATAGAATATAGTGACTCAAAAACTGTCAAGTGGTTGAATGCTCATTTTTCTCTTCTAATATTTATTGCTTTCTTCCTATTATTTCAACTAGATCTTTCGCTATTCGTGGGCTTATTCATCCATTATATTCATGTAGTTTTACTTTGAAATCTAATGAATATGTAGTTTTAATCGTTATTGTCGTCCTTATACCTTGGTTGCTAAACCATACATTTTTGCGTCTAATGTTTGGTTAATGTGTTCAGACTAGGAGTAAACCTATGATTGGTTTGCTATACATCCAGGGATATATTCACTATACAATCAGTTAGTTGGTTAAAGACCTGTTTCGTATTACTTTCGAGTATGCAATACTTGGTTTTTGCAGCTAGAACTTGTTAACACTATTCGGTCTTTTCAACAAATACATGAAATGTAATCATATGGATCTTATTTTGCAAACATTAGAGTGAATAAGTCTTATATATCTCAAAATATTCACTTGCGACGACACACTTGGACCATATAGGTTTTCACTGATCAGAACATCCCACAGAGCTTCTAGAGGTTAGGCTCTTTAACCATCTCATCGCTCCATACAGTTTTTGCAACCTAAATGTTTTGTTAAAATCATGCACACAAGCATACCATCCCCAAATAGCAAAGATACACTTTCCAATTAGTTTTTCATCATCACTGCAATAATTGACTAGAATTTCACTGTTGCTAGTTAATATTTTTAATAGTATTACAAAGTAAGAATAACTTCCTTTACAGATGTTATCGTTAATCCATCAATTGCGTTTACTATTAAAGAACAACTAGATACTGTTATGGGGTTTATGTATAGCAAACAAGATCAGAAGGAACATTAAAGAATAGTACACAAAGAATTATTATTATTATCATTATTATTATTTGAACATATAGATATTGGTACAAGGAGGCACCAAATACCTATGAGCCACAAAAATCTCATTTGAATTGTGTTAGGGCTGTGATACTACTCGGGTGCCCGAACCAAAACAGGTGGTTTTCTTAGGGGGCCGCACCCGGAGCCTTCGACCCAAAGGTGTGGTCCACAAGGCAGTGGAGCATCGTAAGGAGATACAGTCCCATGGTAACCGGTGACCAACGATTGTTTTATACGCCATTTGTTCCTTCAGGATACTGGAACTCATGTGTACCATTAGTTTGGAATCAATGTTTTCCAACTCCCCTAGGTGGATTCCCCATGTCCACCAACCCGGTTAAAGCGCCGGACATTCACTTTTCGTTCTCTCAATTTCGTTAACAACAGTGATGCCGCGAGAAGGCAGTGCATAGGACTTCCCTGGCAGAGGCTATATACGCGTGGCCATGTGAGAGCATTTCAAGAGGAAGAACGAATTCTCCCCACTCTCGACCGTGCTAGGGCATTTGGGGGCACACAAAGAATTAGCAGTTGGACGTTGTACTGCTTTCTATAGATCCGTGCCACTCAGATGTAAAGTCGATAACAGAAATTCTGACTCATCGTGCCGAATTGGTCCGGTTTGATGACACCATAGAATATCAACCACTTAGTCCCTGATTCAAATTGTTCTCGGCATACTTCGGTTTGCATAACCTTGTAGTATTAGTAGCTCACACATCTAGAGTATGGCTCATAATTTGAGTGTTATTAACACTGCGCGGCAGTTCGTTCTGTTTTACTTTACGGCTGCGAAACAAAGACATTGCCTGAATTTACCACACCCATGTATTCATCAGTTCAGCTGCTCCTGCGGAGCCAGTTGTATAGGGTGCGTGACTCGATGAGTTCGTCGTCATATTGCCAAAGACCATCCGGCCTAATTGAGCGAAGGACAGTCAAGGGTGATTAAAAGTTACATTCTTTCTCACTTGTTAAATATTATGTAATATGGTAGCCATTAAATTGTTCCCAGTTTCCACAAAAAATTACTTTGATTATTATAATTACCTTACCCTCCCAACTACTTAGTTAATTGATTGACCTTATTTGCATAATTACTTGTGTAATTATAATATGACACTACTGCTCGATTAGTAGTATTATTATTGGAGATCGTGTATGTATATGTAATGGAGAAGAAATATTTATTCACTGTTTCTCTTTAAATCATAAATTTGGTAAATAACCCATCAGAAAACACAGACCTCACACGTTTGATTTTTTCACCAACACAGAAATTCAGTAATCATCTTAATTTTATGTTATCCTTGAATCTTCACAGCCTTTATTAAAACTCTTGATTTAGTTGAAAAGTCTTTTCTTCATTGTGTTATCTCCATAAACAACTGACAGCACTTCATGGATTTCATGCGAGTTTCTTCAAACTTTTGATGTACCTCGGTCCGCACATATGTTAGCTAAACCTCATAAACTGTTAGTTCGCCATTTATGGGAACACATACTCAACTATAGTATTTCGAATTTCTGAAAAGGGAATCGCTAAATAATAAACGAATTTTGACTGGAATATATCTATGGTATTATTAACTTTGAAATTATCTTTATTATTTGACTGTTTTAACGTATATAAATATGAGGTTTAGGTGGTTGGAGGTAATTGATAAGGAACGCTTTGCATGGCTTTCGTGCTATTAGGCACTCATCAGCAAAGAGCACCTGTAATTTTCAAGGAAATTGATCGTCTATGTGGAATTCTAACCCACACCATCCATCTTCACAATCTGAGATGCTGTCATTAAACTACTCAGCTAGCAACTTACCTGTGGTGCTGAGATATTTACAAGCAATCACTGGGTCGTGACTCATGTGTATCTAGTCCTTTTTAGTGCTGATCGAATTAGATCGATCAAATCGCAACGTAGCTACTAGCCTAAGTGGCTCGATATCTCATGCTCTATATTAAGATGTTAGGTAGTAGGTGTTTTAGTCCTACAGGTGGTCAGTCAAAGCCTGATTATCTTAGTGGTAACCCCTTAAACTGTGAAGCTAGGTGACAAGATCGAATCTTTCAGAAAACACCAATTCCCTCAAAATTACAGGTACATCTTGCCGATAAGTGCCAAATATCATGAAACCTTTGTGAAGCGTCTCCTGTCGACTACCTTCGACCACTTAATATTTCAACATAATGCATGAGACATCGAATCACTCCAGCTGATGCATACGTCGTAACTTGATCGATTGACTTCGATTATGACTAAAAAGGACTAGTTAAACATAATGTTTGTCATCACTCATTGATTAAACAATTGTAGCTTTCTCTATTCTCCGACAGGTTGTATAGGCAGAGCGTCTGTCTGTTTACCAATGGGAAATCATGCTGTACATATGTCCTTTCTACATCACTTAACAGATAAAAATATAGTCATAGCTACTAGAAGCTACTTTGAGGCCATCGATATTTGATAACAGGTGTGGATGGTAAAGTTAACAAGTATGCTACTCAAACTTTGAGGGAATGTTTGTAAACGAACACAACAAATCGATTTTTGAGTTGCAAAATAACTTTGACGCCCTTATAAAACTCATAAACAGTCTATGCTAGCCAAGGTAAAAAATAAATCTGGATAAAGTCATATCTAGACCAAAACGCGTCCCTATTTTTTGAATTTACAGTTCGTTGGTTTGATCAACATAAAGAGCATCCTAATTTTTCCTTGAATCCTCAGGTAAAGTGATCTGTAATGGTGCAGATACGTCCACTAATTAACTTCACCTAAATCAAGGATATATTATGATCATGTGTTCTCTATCCTTTAATTTTTTTTCATTTCTTTGCCGCTATTTGTATTATAAAGTTGGTTTATTTTCTCTCAGTCAACTAACGCTGCTGAGACATTGTGTAATATGACAACTTTGATTAATACATAACTATATTATACTTGGATTCTTTCTGATTTGTTTCCATTTAAGCCTTGTGATGTAATATGCAGATAGATTCGACGTAGAGACTTGAACTGAACCGGGATGTGACCATGACTTTACTAGTATCTACTGAAATGATAGCCAATATGTCGAAATTCGTGGCCACTTTGAATAAAAATACTTAAGCTCTATATTATTGTAGAAGCCACCGATTTTCTGTGTCTTTAAATTTAATTTATGTATTGAGAATATTTTTGATTGGTGATACTTTATAGAAAACGCCTCAGATTTGCCAGTTGGGCTTCCAAATCCTAGAAATGTATGCTATTTCAATGCATTGATGCAAGCAATGGCAGCGAATCCAAGTCTTGTTCGTCTCCTAAAACGCAGTGTCCACATTAGGCCGGACAAATTCATGTATAGATTATTGTGTTTATTGGAGGGTAAGTGTTCAATTTCGTTCTCATTCTAACTTTTTGGATCCCACAGTCATTCACGTTTGGTGTATTAAAAAAACCCAGTGATTAAGAGTTTTAAAAAACAAAACTGATTATGTTTTCTTCTTTAGATATCATACCCTTAATAAAGTCAATAAATATGTGATTGGTTAAGTTTGTAAGGACTTCGTCAGCAATTATGGCTCGCCACGTCGAAATGGTGAGAATTGTAATTAAATATATCCCAAGATAATCTTTTCAACAAAATAGCAATTAAAGCTCGTGATGGATATATCCTTTTCACTTTATGTACGCATGGAGAATATGAACTATGAGCATGTTTGTTTGACCAGTGCAGTTTCTTGTTGACTTGTCTCATCAGCCAAGCGATTCCCAAGTTTGTATGAAGGTAAACTAGAGTGTAAACTATGACACTGAGCCTGAATATAATTCATGGGGAAACGTTTATTTTCTCAAATCCTTGTTTAAATCTCTTCAGGTTGTGAAAAGTCTAAGTGATTGTGGTCTAATAAACTATACAAACTAAATTTATTAAAGATGATTAAATGATAAAAGCAATTTATATCGATCAGCACTTTGTCATTTTACTTAAGAAAATGTAAGTTTCCTTTATTACCCGTCAATCTGCTTAATTTTTGACAGGACCTAAAGCTCACTTCTCTTATTTATTTGTGACTTCTGGATTCTAGTTTTTACCCTACTGTCAAGACGGTTGTCAACGTATTTGTGTAAAATAGCTGCCCTCTTAGTTCAATCTTCTTTAGTCCCTCCGATACATTTCTTGAACAAGATACATGTTTTGAATTAGCTTGGGCTAATAAGAAAATAAGCCATATGTATTCGGAGCTGAGGTAATCAAATCTAATTTTAATTAACATGCAGTCAGGCAGTATCATAGGCGACACAAATTTTCACTTTGACTATCAACAACACGAATTGTTAGTTTTTAGCGGAATCAATTTTTATCGTATATTTACTGAATATCCTTGGGTCATATTTTTATCCGGTAACCAATTTTGTTAAGCTATAAATTTACAATTGAAGTTTCAACTTTATTTTACCAGGTTTGCAATGTTCTTCTCAGTATATTGCAGAGAATAACTTGGGTGGTTTACTAAAAAAGAATCATGAAGCGTTAATTAATGACATAGTGAATACACAAAATTGGGCTATTCATGAACAGCAGGTTAGTCGTTGTGTTATTCCTTTTTATGTTACGTTTATCTTAGTTTTAATACATCATGCTTGATAATTTTCATTTAATCCATAGATTCACTATACTGGGTACTAATTTTTGTTACTGCACTAATTATTAATCGTTCTCATGATTTGTCTAAATACGATCAACTAAAATTTCTCGACCAGTTTTATCATGTAGTCACTAAGTGAAATAAGTAACTCGAAATTTCTCTGCGCTTCGTTTTGCTTTGAATTTAATAAATGTTATCATGACTAGACTTCCATACTTGATTTTTTATCAATTACTAAATATGTATATGTTAATGTAGAACAAGCATCGTTAGGCATCGTAGTCGTAGATTTCGTCTCTGAGGTATTGAGCTCGTATATGATTAGATTCAGAAAAGCCGAATCCAAATCTGTTGATTGTTATGTCTTCAAATTATAGATTTTAAAAGAAAATTAATTTTAGGTGGTCCTGTCTTGTGTCAGTTTTTTGGAAAAGGAGAAGATAAGTGACCCTTAAACCGTAACCTTTTGTACGAATAATACTGCTAATCGTGTTATGCTAAATGGATAGAACAGATTTTGCTAAAAACAAAAGTCACTTCCATATCCATTCAGTAATCATGCTTTTAGAACAACGCTTAATTCGCTGACGAAAGAATATCCAAGTAACTTTATAAAACAGGTGTTTTTCCTATTTAAATGAAATAATGTCGAAAAAGGATCGTAAGCCATCGTATCTGTGGGAACGAGCATTTATAGATACACACAAATGGATATAAAAAAGAGGAATAAGTCCATTAGGCTTTTATATTATTAATTTTAACACAAGCTATAATCTAAAATTTAGTCGTTTTCTCATTCTTTATTTATAACTTCATTTGTCGGAACAGAAAGTCTTATCTGCAATTGTTTTCGGTGATTAGGTTGACTTTGCACTTTTTTGGTTACACATGCGAAATGTCGGTTTCTGCATTAAGAACTGGCCATTTTACTCGCTAACCTGTTATTTTTGTTTGTTTTTAAAAGTATGCTGTCTGTTGTAGCTGATAAGAACAGTATTTCATGTAGAAAAAAAAACTAGTCAATACTACAATTGTGTTTGTGTTTAGATTTAGTTAGTTAAGCTATTATTTAAGTGGTACAGTTTGTTTTACTAACTGGAATATTTATATCTTCATTGATTTTAGTAACTTGTGTAACATTGCATTGTGTCTAATTAACTGACTACTACTTTGTTTTTATTCAGTGTGAACGCGTTATGAAGATAGTTTGGATATGTTTGGTTTATAGTGTTAACTCACAAACAGATTTTATATAAGGGCTAGATTTCTAAAGTAAGGAAAGCGATTGTTTTAATGAATTAGTATAAACATAAAGATATATGGTGAAAATCAAAGTATGATTAAGGAAAATGTCGTTGTATTCAAGTTAGATGTTAACACTTAACTCTTAACAAGCTGACTAAAACCACATATTAAATGGATAAAATATGTTTTCTTTGTGTTTAAATTTTAGGATGCCCATGAATTATTTGGTTTTATCATGGAACGTGCTTGTAGTCAAGATAATGATTTTTCCAGCAAAACATGTGCTAGAAAAATAAGTAATCTGTTCAATTTTAATCTTCCGCATCATAAACGAGTAAGTGTACGAAATTATTATTTTTTATAAAAGTGCGTAAAGAATTTTCTTTGTCGATGGGAAACCTAGTTAATGGTTGCAGTTCAGCTGGAAATTTCTAAACTATTTAATTCAGTGGTATTTCATTTTGACCAAAAAGCGTAATTGCTAATCTTGCTCCAATGTACTTTTTTATTTATTGAGATCATGAACTGATCGATGTTAGATCACTGAAAACCTGGAAGCATTGGGTGGTCATTTCGTCCCAGTATGGGACTTCTCAGCAGTGCACACGAACGATCCCGCACACGGGGCTCGGATCCAGGCAGCCTAGGATTTGTCGGTTCGTGATCTCAATAAAGTCCGACAATCTCCACGATCCTATACTGATAATTTTATTTATTATATTCAGCATCAAATTGTAGTCATTTTTTTGTCATCGTTTCACAAATCTTCTTCCTTTTGATTTTATTTTCAAAGATAGTTGTCTGTCGATCTCATTGTTCTGCTATTGAAAGTGTAAAGTTTCGTGCAATTTTATGCGATGCATTTCCTACTCATGTGTTTGAACAAATTCTGGTGAGTAGCCGGGTAACATGTAATTATTGCAACTATCATAGTAAAGTGGTCATTCAACCGGAAGCTTGTTTAAATATATTTTTAAGTAAGTTAATTTTCACTTGTAAACACAGTATCAGTGGTTAATACATTCGATTTTCAGCCTGCAACTCTCCGATTCGAACCATGCTCCATCTGTTTCTGTTTGGAAAGCCGGGTACTATCATATAGAGTGTAGTTCATACCAAAATACCTGGTGGCTCAGTTACTTAAGAAAATCAAAATACACTACTTTGATATGATCACTAGTTGACTTTATTTTATATAAATATATCTAAATTAGAGATTCTCTCCACTCTTCTTATTTGGGGTGTCAATGTTTCTTGAAACTAATGATTTCTGTCTATGTAAACAAGTGCATAATCACTGTCAATCTATACTCTGTATTTGTGTGAGAAATTTACTAACTATATATGTGATACGACTAGGATTAACACTAATAATAAGGCTTTTTAAAATAGAGCATGTAAATATGATTATTTTGAATTCAATTACAAATGGAATATGGTCACTAACATATAGATGTAACCCAAACCATACTCCATAAACCGTTATGGTATGACTCGAACCTTCTTATTAGTTGATTTTTCAAGAAATGAACTTTTATTGCGATTATCTGTTAGTTAAGATAGAGTAGTTAAAAAAATCTAAGAATAAAGTGGGATAACGAAGAAGTGCTCAGTAAAATACACTAGTGATTGAGATTAACAAGATCATTGTACTAAACTATTCTGGAGACTTCAAACCTGCTTATAATTCAGACCGTTACATAATAAATGTTTAATTTTGTCAACACGGTGCATTTCTTAGTTTAGTATTATGGTTGAGTGATAAGTCTTGCTAATTGAACGCTATATTTGATTCCTAAGCTATTCTCGTAACCCCCAAGCTAGAACTACACAGCGACCTGAACACGAGAGAAAAGGCGCAAAGTATGCGAGAAGTACTTTACTCCAAAGGTTCGTTCTAGTACAGAAAATATAGGATTTTTATAGTATTTTAGATGTCCTTGGGTTTTCTCGAAAATTCTGGAATGCTATTAAACATATTAGCAGTATAGTAATCAGCCAATCAGAAACTCTACGTGTGACTTTTCACTTTCTTGATGTTTCTGGCTAAACTTCTAGTGAACGCTGATTGTATAAAACGCTTCTTAGTGTTTCCTGAGCCTTTCTTGTCTCTTGCGAGAAGTTTTCTGGATCACCCCAATAGTGAGGTTTTTCTTTTATAATTTTGGTATCTTATTGGTGTAGTTTTGTTGCTAAATGTATTTAAATTTGTATGGTATTCCAGTTTATTGTGTATATTTACTGATGTAGTATGATAATTAAAAGAATCCAAATTCATATGTTAGCTAAGAATTTCCGAAATAGTGCTATTTAAGGCAGGTTGATCTAGATAAGCGCAAATGATGAATGGATTATAGTCGGAATCCGTAATCAGCACGCAATCAAGTACAAAGGAATTATTAGTTAATATAAATATCACATGTAATCGTCATAGAATGTGAAGCATTGATTTTTATGTAATCTAAGATTATTTGGTTCGTTCTGTTTTGGAAGCCTTTGATTAAGCCTACATGAATCTTAGTTTGTTTTAAAGTTTGGGCTTAGCGTTTTGTACATTGAAGCATTTCATCCATTTAACATACAAAGTTGCAATTGTTTCTGCTGGCGCAAAACGCATTTACTTCGCTTAAAGTCTTTTGTTTCCAATTGTTTAGTGGGTTGAATTGATAAGTAACCTATACGTTAACATGTATGAAAATTCTATATTCTTGGTCAGATAGTTCTTTTATCAGAAGGGGTTTGTGGAGATTTTAGAAATTTTCACAGATTTAAATCATGAGTCAGTTCTTTTACAATGCTATTTTCTTGAGTTATACGTACGTTGATTTCCATGTGATCTTCATGTTGCAACTCGAACGTTGTACTTATGGCTTCAAACTTCAATGCATTATTCACTGCACTACTGAGTTCAACTGACTGTTAACTTGTTTAACAGGTATATTGTATAAACATTATTGTGCTTCATGTCTTAGATGAGTTCAATATCATTAAAATTAATTTTGCAATTCATGTTTTTTTTTTGTATAAAAACCATTCATCAATACGTGCATTTATCACTTTTGATGTTATCAATTAGTCGATGTGAGAAATTCACCGTCCATTCAAGGACAGTGTTTATGATTAGTATTATCATCCAACCATTACTATAAATATTACGTAACATAGGATTACTTAACCCTCTTTTAATAAGATTTTATAATTACTGATTAACTGAAAAATATTCAGTTTCTTATTGTTATTCATATTAATGGTTGTGTTTGTATTTCATTCATACTTAGAAATACTTGTTTTCTTTACCATGATGATAACTTTTGTTTAAGAGATCGTGAATAATAATACTAAGTGTTTTAAACTGCATATTATTATTATTATTAATGGCTTTATTCAATATTATATTTTGGTACAATATAGAATTCTCAGCACACTACCTTTCCAGATTTTATTGTTTCTTTTTACGCGGATATTTGTTTTTACCTCTTAGATTTAAGGTAAGCGCTTTCATTTCGTTCCTTAAAAATGTCCGAGAAAAGTGTTTGTCGGTTTACTGTTACTCATCCTCGTAAGAAAACTAGTCTATTGTGAGTACAACTTGGTTAATAATTTTGCTGTATGTAAAAATTCATCTGTTTAGCTTGCGATTCATCGCACAAATCAGACGGATAATGAGGGACCTAATGATCTTTTTTGCGATCGTCTCGGTGCCTTATCAAGTCATTTATATCCAATTTTCTGTTGTCCTTGATTTTACAGTTCTTAATTCGGTTATACACAATATGCTGGGTTCAGCAAATTGTTTCAGCTTGGGATATTACTAAATACAAGGATTTCATGAGTTTACTGTGATATATATCGCTCGATAGTGATGCATTGCCTCATGTGTCTCAATATAGTCTTTCTAACTGCTTTCTATTACAAATTTATACAAACTTCCCATCTATATATAATAATACTAAGTATTTTAAACCGCTTACTACCTTATCCCAATTTTCCAAATTTTCTGTATATATATCATCCGAGTTTAGTTTTATTCTTTGTTTTCATTATTTGCCAGGGAGTCCCAGCACTGTAAAGACAAATGTGAAAGGATTACAACAGTCATATGTCAAAACGTCTACAGAAGTGATAGATCTTATTGAATGTCTTGATGCTCAGTTGGCAACTGTCGAACCTATACCTGATATGAAGTGCCCTAGATGTCAGAAATCTTCGAAATCAAAATCCTGTTCATTAAATTATTGTCAACGCGAACAATGGATAACACACACTCCTAAATACCTAGTTTTGTACATACAAAGAAGTGATTGGTTAAACATAGCTAGCTTATCCACTGAATCGAATAATATTCGTCAGTTTGGTGGAAATCCTTTTTCAACTACCAGAATTGCTACAAAGCGTTCTGAACATGTACATATTCCTGAGTTTTTAAATATGGCGCCTTATTTGTTACCGTGTAGGATTTTAAAGACTGGGGCTTTATCTCAGCCTGTAAATCCATATCATGACAAACCCTCTGGTGGTGTACTTTCCAATACTTCAGAATTATTAGGAAGGGAGTAGGTTTTCAGTAAATTATTTGCTTTGTCATTTATTTTTGAAGTAGAGTTTGTACTTTTTTCCCATTTTCAACTTATCAGAAATGTTAAATTTGTAATTTATCCTGACAATACAAAGTATCAATTCATTTGTTTTAGTAGTTCAAGTACTTATAATTCATTGCTTAGGAAATATGACTGGCAACTCTTGAGTGACAGAATGGGATGCAGTCCAGTTAATTTACTGTACTGAACTTGGGTAATTTTGTTAATTTTTATACTATAGATAGTTCATATAACCTCGTGAAAATAATTTTATGAAGTTATCGATTACTTATTTAAACAAAAGTGCCCGGTACAATAAAGACGATACTCAAGTGAAACTCAGTTATGTTATTTCTTTCGTATACTAGGGTGAGCGGGATAAAAACACTCTCTGAACCTACTTGAACCTATGGTCCGACAAATAAAAATGCAGTCTTCAAACCACGGGATAATTGGTACAAATTTTCGTCTGCTCGAAGCTTATTCATGGGTTATTTTTACCCTGTTTCGAACTATGTATTTTTCAAAATAAAGTTTATTAAGCGTAAGAATGATGTAAAGTTAAGTAATTTCATAAATTTACTCGTTGCAATTAATATTTGGAAGTTTTATTACTGGATCTTGTAAACCGCTGATAGCCAGAGATCGACAAGGTTAGAACCAACGGTTTTCCAAGTTCCTAAGCACTGCTGACAACGAAGAAAAGTGACGCATTATTGTTCTATATGTTGCCGTTTATACTATTTGTTTTGATAAGTTTTATTTCTTCATATAATGTGCATAAATCATAAAATGAACATAAGTTGTACTTACCCCCTTCTTAATCTAACTCACAAGTCAGTAGTTCGGTTCATTGGATTATAGTTACTTATATATGTTTTCTCACCGATTTCTAGCAAGCTATATTATCATTTACTACCATTTTTGCTCTATATTACAGCTGTCCGAAATCATACATACTCCGTTCAGTTATTGTTCATGAAGGAGCATTTCATCAGTGTGGACATTATATAACGTATCGTAAATGGCACACACCTGTATTGCATGTGCAACAAAAGTCGTATTGGTTAGTTAATATTTTGTCAAGTTTGTACGAGTATGTCTCAAACTATTTTAAAGGAATATCAAACACACCTGATGCCCATAATTCGCCATGGATACTGACTTCCGATGCTCATGTGATACGTGTACCATTCAAACACGTGGAATCAAGTCCTGCTTATTTGTTATTTTACGAACGTTTACGTGGATATGATGATCAGCGATTCGGAATAAAATCAGCGATCATTGCAAACGGCACCAACCATCGTACACAGCATAGCACTCCTGCGCTATCACCAATTGAAGATACTGATACGAGTCACTCGGAAATATACAGCGAAGATGAGAGCGACTCAGATGCTTCGATTGACAAACAGGGTGTTTTTAGAAACTTATCAAAAGCAGACATCATTAGATCTTATGCATTATATACGTCAGCATCTCAGATGTATGATAAATCATGTGATGTGTTCTACTTCCATAGTATTTTATTTTCTACTTATTTTACAGTTAAGTGGTGTAGTTTTTGAGAAACGATGTCAGGATGTATTTTTATTCGTGTTTTCTGTATTAGCGGTTTCAAGACGAATTTCATATTGTCGGGATAAGTATCGTCATTGTCTAAATCCTATTGCCGTTGTCTATTTCTGATTAAACATCGCGGGATACAGCTCAGGACGTGTTGGTACTCATAACGCCAGTGCTTATATTCAGTCATCTAGTTTTTCAACAACAAATCTTTCAATAGGAAATTATCGTTGGCGTTTTATTTTATCATCAGCAGATATAGCTAGATTTGCGTAGATGTCTTATTTTCTGGGAACACTTCACTGTAGTTTGTGCGGTACATTTAGACTGACTATAATCGATTGCTTCGATTATCACAAACCCTTTATCATCTCATCCTGAAACCCAAAGTCTGTAGTCACTAAAATACATAGCTGCCCTATTTTAGTCATGCAGATATTTTATTAAGTGCTTAAGAGATAGAATATTTATAATCGACGTTTTCAACAATTTGCTGATTCAGTTTATCCATCTTGTGCAAGGGATTATCAGTCCTGTACAAAATTCGCACAGAATTTTCGTTATCATTACATTTAATTGAAATATGATTCTCTTGGCATGTGCTTCAAAGTAAATTATTGCAATTTAGTTGATGTAATTACTTATAATTGAGACATCAACTTACTACAGTTTCAGGTGCCTAGTGTGATTTTCAGCTTATATACATATTGAGAGAATAACGAACATATTTCTTTAAAATTTTATGCTTTATTTAACTTTGACATAAGCGTCATTGAGTTATATTCAACCAGTTGTATTGCTTATTTTATTTGGAGAAAAAATAATCGTGGGTAGCTGTTATAATCTCTTTCTTACGGTTATGACCCAGCTATTCCTATTGCCTAGTATTCTCGGACACCGATTCGCTCGACAAGTCCACAAATCAGAACACGGTTGAACAAGAAAGAGATTATATTCCAAATAACAAGGTTAGATGGAAGTAAGATGCCAGTAAGAAGCACAATAGGGAAAAACGTCAGTATATTTAGTTTTTTTATATGAGAAGATTCTAGAGTATTCTCCAACTATCGACTAGTGCTGATTGGATAAGAATTAGCCAATCAGCGTGCATCAAAGCAATCGTGCATTGAGCTTGCTTTAATCCAGTCTATGTTCCGCTAACAGTAGCATCGCATCCTAAAATAGTTTGCGAACACGTTGATATTTATTATGAATATGCCCATTATTTTAACTGGGTTCACGCAAAACCTTTGATCTGTGTTATTAAAAAGATGTAATCAGGTCTTTGAGTCCTTGGATCCGGATTACATCATAAAGGGCTGCAGGAAGGGCATTCCTACTAGACTGTATCAAGTTATCATATCATAAGTTTCAAGTTACTTTAGAATCGGAAATAAAGTAGTGCGGTATCGATAATGGGCTTGAATTCCTAACATTTGATTCAGATGTTGGACATTTGACGTAAGGTACTTAAACTGAGGAATTCGGGAGATATACTGAATAATCATATATAGTAGTGGGTGAAAATATCACTTATAAATTTGCCCGGGGGTGAGAGGTTCTGCATAATGGATATACCCTGTTAGTGGGTTGAAATGCTTCATAACTAACCCTGAGTTCTCCACTTATCACGTGAACTACAACAAAGGATTCGAAGGGGGAAGACACCAGTGATTAGTGTAGTGGACTGGACCAACCAATTTCGAGTCTCAGAAGCATTCGAGAGACTGAACAACCTAACTGTTTCTGAAGATGGATTGCATCAAGGCGAACGCTATGTGCATTTGTACTGACTGGCACAACTAGCGAAGTTAACTAAGGTTTGCTGATTTCTAAAGTCAAAGACGCTATCTATAATCTGAGTAACCGTCCGACTTACTAAGTTCTATACAGTCACATGTTTGTTACCTTTTCCCACTAATTAGTCCACTAGGTGGTCGGTTCAATGCAAAAGAAAAGGAGTTTAGACGTATAGCTACTGTGTTTGGTGGTACAAAGCAATAACAGGTTATCATGAGTAGTAAAACTAGTCAATATAACTTATATCTGTTTTTATGTAGACGACATTCCTATTTCTTCATACCAATAAGTGCATGAAGCCATTATAGAGTAACATTGACACAGCCTTCTCACAGTACTTTGGTCTGAATGACATCACTTTGAACTGCCTCAGACTTATTTTCCATCAGTCGCGTGAATAGTTTATTTGGACAGTATAGTTACTAACAAGTGCATTGTTTAGAATGGTACGGTATGACTGAAACCAAAATATAGAAATGGGATTCACACTTAAGGATCCTCAATACCTGTTGCACTAACATCCCGATGAGATGACTATTACTAGACTCAGTTATCGGATACACCAAAACTAGTCGCATGGTCTGTAATACTCAATCTGGGAGGTTGAGACTGCAAATTTCATCACATCGATCAAGAAATAACCGCACTTTTACCAACCTCTACAAACGAACCATATACTTTTCTAACCAGCCCCACGAACTCGGAAATATACTACGGAGTCATAATTACTAGTTGCAATGAGTTAGGTCCATAACCGACACAATAAAGTAGTTCAAAACCTAATGAATTAGTGTGTTGATCGTACGACTCACAGCTAGATCATGTCATTATTGATCATTCGCAAAGGTCATTAAGCTTAATTACACTACATTTAGAGTCATCTAAGAATACCTCATCGGATTTTCGGAAACTTTGTGGTCTAACATCTTGACGACTATTAGGAATAGCTCATAAATTTTCGTGACTCGTCGCAGATAAAGGGTCTGCTTATACTTCTCTGGATAAATTAGTGTCGGCGGCGGAGTACACCTGAAGGTTACTGGCCGGAACCTTTCACAGAGCGACAGAAGATCAGCAGGTACATTAGAATTCCTGTCGGTTTTCATTCTGATCTGTGGTCTTCGTCTATGACTTTCAGAAGTTAGTATAAAAATGTTGTGGTTGTCTGAAGTCATTTAATTTCGGTAGCATGTTGCAGTACCAATGGGTTTATCCGCGTAGGATTATGCGCTTTAATGACCTACCAAGACTAATACTGGGAAAGCTAAGGGATTGATTGAAGTATCGTACATTTACATATGTAAACAAGTACTATGTCAAATACAGAAGTCTTGTATTTTTTTCCCACAGCGCCTGGTTTATAAAAAAAAACGATGAAAAGCAAATTAACGTTTATTATAGTGGTTAAAATAATTAGATCACTAATCACAATTGAAGATATATTATGCATGTAAATGACTGTCTAATTCTGCATTTAAATGGACATACACGTACTACGACCCCGGACTCTTAAAACCAAAGTTGACATGGACGACAGGCTTTACATCTAGAACTTTAGACAATAACAACTGCAAAGCTGCATTTTTGTTTGACTGAAACGAATGTTGCATTGACTTTAGCTGTTCGTCTGTCATTTGACGACACACCTCCTCGTAAGGACCATATTGAGAGTTAACCTATAGATTGCACGTGAATAGAAACTATTAACATACTTGAAGCTCAAGTGAATTATAATGAGCTTCCTGTTGTGCTTTGAAAGCATCTACTTCCAGATTTGCTTCACCTTTAGCTTCCTTGAGTCGCTTTGCCCTCCCTATATGTAAATATTAAGTTTGCATTAACAATTACGATTGCGGGCTTCCTCTATTTTTGCTAAAGCTGCTGTGCGAGCCTGTTGCAGTTTGGCTACTCCATCGCTTTGAGCTGCAACAGCCGACATAGCCTTGAGTGTAAGTTCCTGTTTTGAACATGCCTCTCAGCAATGTTCAATAGCAAGATCAAGGGTGATGCATTTTATACCCTTTTGTTGAATTTCATTTATTTAAACGTAATCATATTTTTCATTTGGATCATGAATTACTTTGATATAAAGATCTATTTCAGTTGGTGTTTTCTACCGGTACAGTGATTCGTCTCAGTGAACAATCAAGGATTCTGTGACTCCAGGGTTGGTTGGAACCTGGTCGTAAGCACCTGTGACGCAACTAGTTTTCCCTATGTAATAAGGACGGTTTTCCCTGTTAAATTACAGTTTTCTATCATGGTTTGTTTTGGTCCAATAACTTTGTCATGAGCCTGTAAAAGCTTGTTGAATTCATTGCGTTCACTTCTTGTTCAAATGGTTTTGGACAGAATAGAAGAAGCTTTCGCTTAACAGGCTTCCGTGTCTAGTAGCAGGAAATCACCAGATCCTTTAGACAGGAACCTAGGTATGTTAACAATAAAACAGGAAAGGAAATTGGTAAATCATAGTGCGATTCTATCATTAGTCCTTAAGAATAGATCAAGTTACCTCTTAAAGGACTCCTGGGAAGTCGCTTGAACTAGCTCGGCCAGCAGCGAATTCCAGAATTTGACAACTCTTAAGCAGTAGAAGTTGTGTCTACAGTCCGTTCTGCTATGTTGTGTCTCCAGTTTTTGGGTGTTACCTCGTAGGTTGGTGTTGGAACTAAACTTAAGTAGGTATTTGAGAGGATGTCCAGAAGTGTTAAGGATACTATAAGCCATCAGAAGGTCACCTCTAAGACGTCTATACTCTAATGGGTAAAGGTTAAACGAATGGAGGCGCTCTTCATAAGGTTTAAATTTGAGTCCTCGAACTGATTTCGTGGCTCACCGTTGGATACGCTCCAAAGTGACCTTGTCGTTGTGGAGTGAGGGGGGAGTATTACGTTTCCCTACTCTAAATGGGGACGGATAAAACTATTGAGGATTGTATGGAAAGTTCTTCCGTCAAACTGGCCAAAATTGCGCTTCAACGTTACCAGTACAAGGTTTGCTCGGAAGGCATTTTTGTTACAGTTAGCGTAAGACTTTAAATCATGGGGCACCAGGACTCCTAAATCTTTTTCGACTTGGGATACTATTAGAGAGGAGTTTCCTAAGTTGTAACTGTAGTTTGCGACATGTCGCAGATGAACTACTTTACACTTTGAAGTGTTAAAGGTGAGTCCGTTATCGTCTGCCCAACTTTGAAGTCGAGTCAGATCCTCCTGAAGTGCCTGTGTAT